CCAGCACTGACCCCTGGGGAACACAACCCCATGACTAGCTGCCAACTGGATGTGGCACCATTCACCACTACTCTCTAGGCCCAGCCATCCAACCAGTTCTTCACCCAGCGGAGAGTGCATCTGTCCAAGCTGTGGGCTGCCAGCTTTTTCAGGAATTTGGTTTTTTTCCCTATGGATAGGGTGAGCAGCATTGTTGCCACAATCTGTCACACCAGATTTGCTCTTCTCTTAAAATACACATACATCGCTTATTTGTTAATTGTTATTAAATCAGAAACATTAAATTGTTTCTGATCTGGCACCGGTTTGCTTTCAAAGAACTCACGATTCATGCAAGTAATTTTAGGCATATCCCATCTTCCATTCCCTTGACACCGGATAGTTGGAATGTGACGCTGGATGAAACCATCTTTGCAGTGATATCTGATAAGAGAGTTGATCTCGTAGCGAGATTTCATCTTCCCAAAGGTCTTCGCATTTTCCACAACAGGAGGCTGACCACAAGCGACTGAAGGGGAGAGAGAATATCACAAAAAATGTCAGTTTTTCAACCCAGTTTTGATTGTGACTGACTTCTGAGCCCTGGCTAAGGGAACCTGTCAAGGGACCTCAGTTAGACTCCTAAGAGGCACATCCAAACAAGGACAGGGGGTTCAAGTTTTCCTGTAGTTCTCCAGTATTGTAGACCAAATAAAGTAGTGATTAACATTGGAAAATGACAGATATTGTGGTTTATATCACCTTTTCAGTTTAAATTTTGATGTAAATTTGAGCCAAAAAGGTTGGAGTGCTCACACAAAGAAGTGATTTTTTTTCACTGGAAAGCTACAAAACCTAAAATCCAGTGAAGTTACTGCAGGCATTGAAAAATAAAAGTTCTCATTTTCAACAATTCTCAGGTCTTTCTAAATGACAGACTGTTTAAAAGGACTTGAAACTGACGGATCCATGTAGGCCCAGAGACTGTATTAACAAGAAGTTGTAAATGACAATTTAGCGATTTATTCTATTGTCACTGGAAAGTTTGTACCTGTTCCTTTCTTGCAGGTATAGGTAAGGTGATAATTGCATGGTACATCATTCCACTGCCCGTTCTCATGCCAGATTATAACCACACAATCTTCTCCAGCAGAAAAGAAGCTGTCTGGCTGGTTTGGTCGCCAGTTCTCATATTGCTGCAGAAAAAAAGGAACAAAACCATTATTCCTGGTGCTGGAGAATATTTGCATTCCATTTAACAGAAGAGCAAATGATATCACCTTTGGTGAAGAGCAATCTTCACAGTTTGATTCAGGCTGTTAAGTATGGACTAAACAAAGATAGACATATAATATCCTCCCACTCTATTAACAGATTATCTCAATGGGAAAAAATATTCTGGTCTAATTTCTCATTTACTGTAAACTGATGTCAGGTGAACAAAGCAAAGTGATACAATTCAGTCCAAGGAAAACCGTATCCTAAGTGTCTCAAAAACACTCCTCCATAGACAGACATGAGGTGGAATGCCAGAAAACACAGAAAATAGTGCATAACCCTTTTTAGTCCACATCTAATAAGTGGCAAATTACAGCCTTGCTTCTCTGACTCATATTATTTATTCTCTGACCTCATTTAATGAAGCCACTCAACAGGATGACGTGCAGAATTAGGTATAACATAAGTGAAAGTGTCAGAATGTGGCCCCAGACCACTGGAGATTGGTGTTTCCATTAATCATGCTAGGTGGCAGACTGAGCATAGACAGCAGGCTTTCAGCTTTAGAAATGGTGATGCAAATTTGTCCTCTGTAGAAGAATGAACTCAGGCATCTATGAATGTAGATGAATAAAAGCAGAAGCTGACACACGAGTTTTAGAAGTAGAAAACTGTTGGTATGTGTAAAACAAACAAACAAATAAAAACCCAGTACAAAAAATTCTTCAAATGGCTGTAAAATATGTGTACAATGTCATTTTTGGTTGAAAATTTGA